ATCTCTCCACGTACTTCAATCTGTACCACCCTCACCTGCCGTTCTTGCACCAAGAGTCTTTCAAGCCCACCGCTACTTCACCGCCATTGCTGCTCGCGGTCCTGTCTATTGGTGCTTTGTACACTTTTGAGCGACAGCATGCATTCATGCTCCACGTGGGGTCCAAGATGCTGGTCAACCAATTTTTGCAACATAAGGACAACTTTGACTCGCGCAAGTGCCCTCTCTGGGCCATGCAAAGCACCCTGCTGAACATGATTTTTGAGAGCTGGAGCGGTGATCCCAAGGGCCTCGAATGGACTTGTTCCATCAAGAGTCTTCTGGCCAACGTAAGCGCATTCCCTCTCTTTATTGTACTATCTGAATGATGCTGATAAATGTAGATGGTTGCCGGAAACCGCTATCAACTGAAGCTCCGGACCGAAGCGCGCGAGGGTGCTCAGCCGACCCGCGAGGAGTGGATCGAGGACGAGTCGTGTCGCCGGACGTACTACGCCGTTTACATTTTCTTCGGCATGCTCACGCTGACTTTCAACCACACCCCAGCGATGAGCTTCGACGAGTTTGACAACTTGGAGCTGCCTTCCTCGGAATCCATGTGGAATCTGGATGTGACGGACGATGAGGCATGGCGTCGCAGCTTGGCGTCCTCCACGCCGCTTACTGTTCGTGAAGCGCACGACTGCCTTTTCCAGGGCGAGCAGACGCGCTACAGTGCTTTCGCCACTCGCGTGCTGATCAATGCGCTCTTCCTGCAAGTTTGGAACCACAAGAGGAGCTTCGAGGCCCTCCAGGACGTGGTGACCGAATACAAGCTCCGCTTGGCGCTGGAGACGTGGGAGAGTTCGCTTGAAGTGTGCGAGCCGGAAACGATCGTGGTGCCTCTCAGCACCCCTCAAAAGGGCCACCCCTTGATTTTCAACTCGATGGCCGTCTACCGCAACACCCGCGCTCGCCTGGAAGTTGACCTCAAGTCCATCCAGGAGGCTCTGCGCTACCACTCATCTTACGAGGTCGCTGCTGCGATGACGGTCGCTCGCGAGAAGGTCAAGCGGTCTCAGGAGATGAACAAGGTGATCCAGTCGTGCTTTGAGTGCATTGAGATCGCCGCTGTTCAGGGCATCAACTGGGTCGCCAAGACATCTGCAACCAATTGGAGCGTCGAGCATCCTCTCTGCGGCTTGGATTTGATGGTCATCCTCAGCCTCTGGCTCTATCGCCTGGAACATGACGAAGAGCCCGCATCGGAGGCTGAGATGGCCATCTACAATAAGGTGCGGAATCTGTTTGATGATGACGCCGTCGATGCTTTTGGAAAACTCAGCTCCACCGTGGCCCGTGTATGGGGTAACATCCTAGACGGCGTGGTAGTTTGGGGGTAAGTTGTCTTCTGCTATGCTTATGCTGTGATATGGTGTGCTAACTTGAAACAGAATTACGAAGCTCATGGGCGAGTCATTCAAACTTCATTCCCAGGCCTTGGTCGGCTACGAAGATTCGTTGCGCGTTGCCAAGGACCAACCTATTCACCCAATGCCGACGAAGACGCTTGCCAGCGTTGGCACCGCGTACTAGTGCGAGCAACATCTCCACTCGACGGATAGGTAGCTTGACCATGGTCATCTACATCTTCGACTAAGTTCATCTTCATTATCGTTACATTCATTCCTTACGCGGGCATTGGTTTACATCTGATTTGGGTCGCTGGTGGATTTCGGATTGGGTCGGGAACGGCGAGCAAGTGGCGGCAGGGTTCCCCAGGGAATGCCATGATCTGAACTGCCGCAGTATGCTGCTTGCTGGCGTTCCCTGGCTCACAGTTAATTGCTTTATTGTTTTCTGCGACGTCTTTCATTGCGTTATGGTTTCGCAAGAGCTCACGGGAGTCCGGTGTGGTCATTTTCTTGTTTTTGTGGGTTGTTTTCCCAAGGCAACATCTCGACACCCGGCTGGTCCTGTGTGTTCGTCCTAGCACTCGGTGGAGTTGTTGTTTTCATTGCCTTCTTCTTATACGCTCTTCTACGCCCTAATCATTAGTGCCTCCGTTCTACATGTGCGCATCAGCGTGTTTGGTCAATTGCCATGGGGTTTACCCTAGGCCATCTTTGATACCTTTGTCCGTTATATACATTCTTCTGCTTCAAGTCATTCGTTCCACCTTTTGATCTATTACTTTGTTCGTGACCACTTAATGTATTGCGTTAAATCGTTTGATATGGTGATGTGTTTATGTGTCCCCGCCGTTGATGTTCTCCGCTCTGATTTGATCTGCTTTCAACTGCTTTGATTTTGGCCTTTTTGATTTGATTTGTTTAATTGCACATGCTTTGCTTGACCTTATCAGTAGTTCTCTGTACCATAGTAATTTGCGCAGAAAATATAACTTGTTGGCGGGGTCTTTGCAGTTACAGTATGGTAGAGTCGTAGAGTTGTTGAACTGGCTGAATGGCTGGACGTAGCTGGAGTTGGCTTTATCGACGAGGTGAAAGAGTGGGTCAACCAGCACGGTGGATCGGTGGGGGATCTGGTTCGCGGGTGCTTATCAGGAAAAGAAAGGAGGCCGACAATCGCGGGGGAATGAAGTGAACTGAAAGAAGATGAAGAGGAATGAAATCCATGGAAGTTGCAGAGACTGGAATTTGGGAGATCACTGGACCGGAGCAGGTGACTTGGTGCTTACCCCTCTTCTTTGCTTCTGCAGCAAGCAGTGATGCCCGTTCCTGATCCTACAAGTACAAGTACTCCATCCATAGTTAGCTTCCTGATTCTCCTTCCTCTTCCCCTCACCTTATCACTCACTCACTTTACTATCGCCCCAACTGAATCAATCATGGCCCTCCCTTCCAACGTCCACGTTTCGTCCCATCCCCTCCTCCAAGCCAAGCTCTCACAGCTCCGGTCCGCATCCACCTCGACCCGCGAGACCCGCAGTCTGGTGCACGAGATAGCGACTATCTTGGGCGTGGAGGCATTTGCAGCAGGATGGAAGGTGAAGAAAGCAGGAATGGTAGGTTCACTCGTCACCTAAACAATCAACAATCCTCAATGTATGTATGTAATAGCTAATTTATCTGGACAGGATACCACCCCGTTAGGCACCGAATACGTCACTCACGACATTGATCCTTCGGACATTGCCTTGGTGCCTATTCTCCGGTCCGGATTGGGCATGATAGAGGGTATTCACCTGCCCCCATACTCTCTCACCGACCAATTCGGTCACCCAATACCTAATAATTTAACAAAACTAATAATGGAAATAAACAGCGATGAACAACCTCCTCCCCACCTCCATCCCTATCTACCACCTCGGTCTCTTCCGCGAACGTCTCACCCTCCAACCCGTCGAATACTACAACAACCTGCCCTTCCAGCCCGACAGCTCCAGCACTAACACCGCCGCCGCGGCCACGGCCATTCTCCTTGATCCGGTCATTGCAACGGGTGCTACCGCTGAAGCAGCGATTCAGTTACTTCGCGAATGGGGTGTGCAGAGAGTCGTCATGTTGAGTGTGTTGGGTTCGGAGGCGGGTGTGCTTCGCGCGGCGGGCACTTGGCCCGAGGGCGTCGAGGTGTGGACTGGAGCCGTGGATGCCAGGTGTGATGAGCGGGGGATGATTGTGCCGGGGTTGGGAGATATTGGGGATCGGTTGTTTGTTGCGATGGGGAAGTAGGTTGCAGTATGCAGTATGCAGTATAGTATACTAGTCTACTTACTATATGGTATGGCATGTAGTGAAAGATATGGATAGATAGATAGCAGCAGAATAGGTAGATGTGGGTAAATAGACATGATCACCACTTGATTGATTGATTACCGTCCCCGTTGCAAAAACCCCAATACATCCATCTCAACCCCATACTCCACCTCATCCCTACCAACACCAGCAGCAGCAGCAGCACCCTGATTCACATTCATCCTACTCAACCCACCCACCGGAATCTCCCTCCCAGCACCAGAAGCAGAAACCGAAGTCGGAGTCATCGGCCCCAAACTCGGCGACGCAACAATACCCACACCCACATCCATCCCCGTCGTCAACGCCACCCCAATCTCATTCTCATTCTCTTGCTTATACAAAGTCCCCCCACTCCCAGCAGACGCAGAATTCTCCGGCGTGATATAATTATTATTATTCCTCTGATGTAAGCCAGCAGCAGCAGCAGCAGCACCTGCACTCCCATCCAAACACCTCCCATCATGCACATGTCCATGATGATGAGTGATGAACTTCTCCCCGATTCCACCCCGTCCGTGATGAATCCCCCGCGTGAGAAGCATTTGTCGTCGAAGGGTTTGTGCGCGTTCTTCGCGGAATTCGGCGGCTATAGTTTCCATCATATCCCCCGAAGGGTATGTTGTTAGATGAGTTTTGGGGATGTATTATATGAGTGTGTTTGGGGTATACATACCTCTCCAGAAGAAAACATACACGCCCATTACGATGAAACAGGCGGCCAGAAAACCGAAGAGGATGCCGAGTTCGTGGGAGAGGGAGGTCATGGGGGTGTAGGGGGGGATGTTGTGCGGGTTGTTATTGGTATTGGTGGTGGCTGTGGTTGTGGTTGTGGTGTTGGACATTTTGATGATGTTGGTGGGATGGTTCTGAGGTAGTAGGAGTTAGTTGTTGTGGGAGTATAGAGAGGAGGGTAGGGTGTATGTGTAGTATATGTGATGTGAGGTGGAAGACGTACTGTTGTTCTGATCTGTTGATTGGAGATGGAGATAGTGATGGTGATGGTGTTGTGGAAGTAGATGTGTAAGTAGACGCGATGAGGATGTATGTGAGTGTGGTGAGATCTTCGATCAAGGGAACCCACTTTTCTGCAGAGGAGGGACCATTCACTGACATATGAGATAAAGAATGGAGATGACAGTAATCTGCAGTTCATCGTATTCTTTGTCTGTCTGCGCGGTATCATCATTGGTCGTCGCACTCGTGCTACCCGGATCGGCCAACAAAGGCCGAATCAGAATCAACAGTGAAGTGAATGAATAGAATTTAGATTCATGATCAGTTAAGTAGTAAGTAGTAAGTAGTAGTAAGGTAGTGTAATAGTAAATACATCATCAAACAATAGCCTCGAGGGCACAAATCAAGGTATCATGTACACGTACAAGAAGCGTCAGTAGAAGTAGGTAAAGGTGAAAGGTAAAAGCACCCGGTCTATACATGGGGTATGGTATGAATGCAAAGGTCGAAAAAGTAATGCAGACCTCACAAAAAGTGAAGTGAAGAAGCGAAAAAATAAACTGCAGCACAGCCAAAAGTGATGGTGGCTGCTGCAATGCAATGCAAGCAACGCTCGTAGCAGAGAGCGACCGAAACCAAGTCTAGTCGCCAAAGACTGTCGTGAAAAGAAATTATAATATAACTCCGAATGCAAGTTGGTGCAGCAGAAACCGTCGAGTCGAAAAGTCGACGATAATCGTTGAAGGGTATCACCCCAGCATCACTGCTGCCAATGCCGTACAGGTCAATCCAATGGCCATGCCAATCCATGGTGTTTGTCCGAGTGTGCCTTCACTGCGTGCGCGCAACGCTTTGGTTTCCCCTGTCGACGCGGCCAGGCCGATTCTCCCGCTCGCTGGTTCGGGCAGTTGATCCTGCACCCGTGTCGCATCTGTAGTATCTTGAATCTCTAGCAGCGTGCGAATCTTCCGTAACTCCGCATGTTGCTCTGCATTCGACGGCATCGGGATCTCAGGCAACGGGGCGGGCGGGTTGGCATTGGGGAGGGACGGCGTGGGAGACACAGCGGGAGGTATTTGGGGATCGGCCTCGACGGCGAGGGCTATCGTCGGAGCGAGACAGAGGAGGATCGTGGAGGTCTTCATTGTGAATGTGTGGAGTGGATGTGCGAGAATGCGACGAGAAAAAAGGTCGGTGCGGAGGGAAACAATGCAAGCAAGCAAGGCTGCGGGATTCCAGAACGTGCTGGATCAAAGCGAAGAAAACTTGTGCCGGGAATTATAATCCACCACTTCCAACGATACCAACAATAGCAACGGAAGAATCCAAGTCCCACAGTAACCGAAGTCAAGGTTGTAAGCTGAGTCGAGATCTGAAACGGGGAGCGCGACAGATGCGAAGAGTCGAGAGCGCAAAAGAAACGACTGGCTGGTGTATCTCCTGAAACCTGTAACGAACAATACAGGGGAAGCAGGCAACGGCAACGACAGTGTATGTGTATGTTAAATAAATTTGCAACAACAACCACAGCAACGACCGTCTCCAACAACGATGGGCACAATACAATATAAATAAAGTACAAGCAAGAGCGAGAGAGTAGGTTGCAACAGGAGAGGAAATAAAAAAAGGGACGGACGGGAAAGCAGAAGAAGAAAAGAAGAAGGGGGGAGAAACAGGCGAAACGGCCCAGACGCTGACAGGCCAAGCTGGAACGGGGGGGCCCTGACCCTGGCCTTTGCCAAATTAGTGGAAATTTAATTCGTCTTTAGCGTTTTTTGCGCCGACCTCTCCTCTTCTAGGACAAAGCCCCACTTGCCCAAGTGGCCCCCAATAGATACCTAGTGGGGTTTGCCCAGCCTGCAGTGGCCCGCTATTTTGAACATCTAATTGGCTGTATCCTGCCGTGTCAGCACGGGCTGGGACTAGCGTCAGTTGAAAGGTTGTCTCGTGCCACTTACAGAAGCTTGTCAAGAAGGGCAGCGGTGGAACCAGGGACAATCCCTGTAACCATCGGCATCAGCTTTTGCCCGATTGGGGGAGGGTCTGGCCCGGATGAACCAATAAGAAGAAGGAGAAACTCCACGCGAGGGCGAGGTTCATTTCCCGCTATTGAGTGAATTGGGGGACGGGATGATAAGTTAGTGTAGTGCACTGTATAGGGCAGATAGATACTAGTATGGAGGTTAGTAATAAACAGTATTATTTCCCAGTGTATCAGGCTATCTCGATTCCAAGTGAGACATTAATTTGCTTGTTGCTCACCGGCCCTGAAAATGACGAGCTTAAGCTGGATTAATGATGATGTGCAAATCCCTCTCATCAACACGGGATGTCGCATCAGCTAACACTTCCCATCTATCATACTTCATTAAAGTCTATCGATCATCACATACTCGGCATCTCACACTTTATTACATACAGTGTCTGCCTCACTCTGCTGCTGCTGCTGCCCTCGGGTGGTCCGTGTGCTAATTATAGTCCCGCACATCACGCTGTTTCTCCGCGACAATCACTTCCACAAGGCAATCAACATCAACACCACACAATGGCTGTGGCGTGGCATGGCTGGCATGCTTTTCTTACGTCGTCACCTCTCACAGCCATCCATGTGGATAATACATCATCCCCAGGGTTTCTCCTCATTGGCATCTGAACTTTTGACAGTTCTATCTTTATCTTCATCTCTATGAACAAAACATCCGATCGGTTGTCCCCCGGCCATCCCGCATGACGTAAACCCCTTCCCTGCCTCCCAAATAAACAAGGCTATCACAACAACAACAGCCCCATCAACAGTGGGATAGCGTCAACATCCACCAGCCTTCTCACTGTTACATACAACATCATCCTGTTACAACATCTTCCCCCAGTCTGGTGTCACCGTAAACTTTCCACTCAGCTGTCCCATCGCCCACACCTTCTTCTCATCATCCGGGAATTCCTCGTCCGCTGCATTAGGCGGGGTCGACACGATCAACGCTTCTTGGAGAAAGTCCACGGCCGTTGCGCGATCCAGCTCGAAGCTGATTCCTCCCCAGTCCATCGTCACCCGACCCGACGCATGGACATTCAGCTTGCCGACGCGCCCGGCGCTGAGGCCCCAGTCGGCTGCAGTGACAATCTTGGACGACGTCCCTGTTGCCGTGGCATCATGCCCACCCTCGAGGATCTCGACGCCATCTTCGCGCTTGACGCCTGTCTGCTCTGACCCACTGGCCTCCGGTGCGCTCTGCCCCGCCGTCGTCTCTGTAGCTTCATCCACTGGATTCTCGCTGTTGCCCGGTACCACCAGGTTCGGCGTCATCGGTGGGAATTGCATCAGGAACAGCTGCCCCGCCAACTTGTCCTTGTTGACATCCTCCTCCTCCTGCTCCTTGTCCTTGTCCTCCGTTGTACTCTCCTTCTCCTTATCCTGGTCGTTGGCAACCACAGCAGGGGCCTCTCCCTCTGCCGGGGTGGTGGTCTCCGATTTCTCAGGTTCAGGCTCCTTCTGGAAGAGGTCCTTGACAATCTCTAGGTCCTGCTCGTGTCGCTCGTACTCTTCGATGTCCTCCTTCGTGCGTAGTAAACTCTTCGGGTCCTTCACGGCAGCAGGGATCTCCGATTCGGGCTGAGGCGTAGCTTCGTTCGATGGGGGTGTAATTTTCCTGCGCACCTTGACCTTCTGCACCGGCAGCAGTCCATCATCCGTCGTAGCTGGCTCCTCCGCATGCGGAACATCTGTCATGACCTGATCATCATCATCTGTAGGCTCAGACTTGACCTTGGGCTCTCCCTCCGTAGTAGCCGCAGCATCATCATCAGTCTGCTGCACAAAGAGCGCGCCATCATCCTCCTTCGTCTGCGCCTTCGCCTTCTCCCTCAGCTCCGCCGACTTGCTGGAGCTCGACTCCATATTGACACTGACCGTGCGCTCCTCATGCTCATGTCTCTCAACCCGAATAGGCCGCAACCCCTTTTCCGCATCAGCATACTTGACCGCTGCCTTCCCCTTTTTACTATCAACCATCATCTGCTCCTGATCCTCTTCATCACTATCCAAATTGATCTGGTCGATACTAATGCGCACCTCCCCATCACTCTCATCTGACGAGTAATCGCGAGTCCCCGCCGCCGTATTACCCAAATCAATAACCGACCGACTGCGTCTCGACATAGACGAATGTCTCGAATCATTTCCAAACCGTCCGCCTCTACCCCGACGCCCAGACATCCCCGATCCCAATGGCCCGCCCGCGGACCCCAGAGGTCCGCCACGCCCGCGCCCAAACCCACCGCGACCACCAGGACCGCCCTGGTCCCGGCCGCGCTGGATCGCCGCCGCCTCCTTCAGGCGCTCGCGATGCCGCTCGGCTTCGAGCTTCTCAATAGCTTCTCGCTCCTCTTTGCTGCGACGGCCGACGGCGCGCGGCTTGTATTTCAGTGTAGGTTTGGCGGGTTCGCCGGGCGCAGCGGGCGCGCTGGGGGGTTTTGCGGCCGGTCCGATGCTGCCGGAGGGTGTGCGTTTCTTGAGCGATTGGAGGCGCTGGACGGGGGCTCGCCCGGAGGCTGATGGGCCGGGCGTAGGAGTCTGAGAGTCGCCGGCGGTGGTGGCGCTGGGCGCGGGACTCGCTGAGGCGGTTGTAGATGCATTGGCGCGGCTGGCTGCGCCGGCTGGTGCTCCTCGTCGGGGAGCACCTTTCGGAGGCATGATGGGTGGATGTGGATGTGGATGATCGGTGTGGTGGAAAGGGTGGGATTGAGTAGCGTTGAAGTAGTGTTAAAGTACGGACGAGCTGGAAGGGTATATAGAGGGTGGCTCGTCCGGAGGTAGGGAAGAGGAAAAGTAGAAATGAAAGGCAAGGGAGAGGATTGGTAATGAAATCGAGTGAAGATGAAGATACGGAACTTTTTGGCAGGATCCGCGCCCGCTCGGCGTTGGAGAAAAAAAGGAAATTAGCGCCTCAGGCCGCTAATGCGGGGCAACGCCAGTCAGCCGGCGCTAACCCGATCCGGACATCACCTCAGATGTTGCTTCAATAATTCTGTCAATTAATGGCAGCCATTCACTGGATGTGATGGATCGCATTGAGTTGATATTGGAACAATGGGTCTATTCAGATGTAGCTGGATTAGGCTAACGACTTTCTATTCTGTCTATTGGCTAGCCTTATACTACCAGCTCGCTTACGAATCTGCTGTGGCTCATAAAATTCAATATATATTTCCTATTGATCACAGTAGACCTCTTTGCAAGTTGTAACTCATCTCCAGTTGAAATCAGACGGGCACCAGCAAAGCCATTCAAAACACAACCAAGTAATCCAGATACATCCGCTCTTTCAATGGGGGCCTAAATGAGTGGAGGCGACCCCGGACCGTGGCCGCGAAAACATTGCAGCAACTAACGCCAAAAGACACAACTCAGGAAGCTCAATCAACCCGCTCAGCTCAATCGCTAGACTATCCATGAGAAATAACAGGCCAGGCAGAATGCAGACGGTAATGCGAACTAGGTTGGCGATCCGAGGAGAGAGAGGTAGAGAGGTAGAGAGAGAATGAAGGGAGCGCGGCACTCGTGACTTCGATGCAAGATACAAAGAGAGACGTCGTGCACGAATCCGCCGGCGATGAAGGAAGGACATCCCAAGAGGCAGGCCGGCTCGGGGGAGAGGAAGAAGTATTCAGTGATATGATGGGGGAGATTCGGAGAGTTTCAAGATGATCAAGCCAACGGTCCGCGTGGAAAAAACTCGTTAAGGAGGGGAAGGATACAATGCACGGAAGAATGTCGATTCGTCTATGTTAAAAGGTGTAATATGTCAGGAGAAATGCAGCCATCCAGGCGCAGCTCATCAATGGTTCGGTACGACCGGTGTGGGCGAAAAGGAAAAAGTGAGTTAGAGGAGCGAGAGGTCCGAGCGGTCATGGGCCAGACACAGCCATCCTCATTGCTGGGATTGGAATCCAGCTAACGCTTGCGCTTCTTGTTCTTATCCACGCTAGCCGCCGTGGTCACCGGAATAGCGGCCACGATGGATTGCGTCTCGACTCCATTCGGAGTGGCATCGAATGCTTTCTTGACAGGGACCCCCATGTGGCGACCATAGCGGCCTTTGCGACCGTTACCTTCGTCTTCGCTGATGCATCCTTCAATGCCGATGCCAGCATCCTTGCATCGGCCGCAAGGGCGTTGTCGATCGCAGCCCTTCTTGCTCTTCCGGCATCGTTGGCAACGCGGCTTGGTCGACAAGTCCTCCTCGTCGGCGGCGAGCTGGTGCTGGAAGTTGACGGACGAAGTCGAGGTTTTGCGGACCGGCACAGGGCTCATCATCTGCGGTGATACCGCCGTTTTCTGAGTCGCCGTGGTAGACGTCGCCTTGACTTTACGGGCGGCCCCATTAGCCGCTGGCTTGCTGCTCTTATTCGGACGCACGGGTGCTGGCTTGGGCCCGCGCGCTTTGGTGGAGGTGGCAGCATGGGTGGGCCGAGTCTTCGCCTTCTTGGACTTGGGAGCGTCCCGGTAGAGCGTATCCTCCTCCATATCATGCCTCACCAAGGTGTCGTTCAACTCTTCATGTTGGTAATCCTCATCGTAGCCATCGTAACTTCCATCAGAGCTGTCAAAGCTGGGAAGGATATCGTCCAGATGCTTGTGTGTGTGCTTGGTGGCACCGGGTGGGAGCATGGGGCTGGAGTCGAGCCGCTGCTTGGACCGAGCGGGCAGATCATCGTCATCATCGCTGTAGTCATCACCATCGCTGGTTGCGCCCGTCGACGATGCAGCATCGGCGGCACCGCTGAAGGCATCATCAAGCGTGGAGGCAGAAGTCCGGCCATGCGAGAAATTAGATGCGTCTCCCAGACGAATCAATTGCATAGCAACATCCTCGTCAGAGATACAGCTGGCAATGGTAGGATCCGGGGTGGGGAGGATGCCCGGGCCGCCGCCCCGACCAGCCTGGTTGCTATACTGCCCACCAGAGGACTGGGTCGTGGCTCGGTCGCGCAGCCGGTGGCCATGCTCAGGAACCACAGGGGTAGCGTACACAGGATTGCGCACCGGATTGACGTTATAGATTTGCTCATTGTATCCATAGCTCTGTGGAGACGGCAATGGTTGTTGGTTGTATGGGCGCTGGGTGGGGCGTGCGAAAGGTGAGATGGCCCCTTCCTGACCGATTGACCGGCGTTGGGGCGAGATCGACGACGTGGAGGTTGTAAGCGGGACCTGGGGAGGAACGAACAAAGGCAATTCCTGGAGAGGAGACAAAGAGAAAACGTTAGCAAGTCTGGTTCACATAAAGACGGGGCACGAAAAGATGACTGCCACGAACCGAACTTTCAAACTTGGGCCGCTTCCGGCGGCCATCTTGGAGGATGTTTTCCATGCTGATATCTGAGCTGCCAAACTGCTCGGTTCGGGACTTCTTCGTCCCAGAGTAGCCTCCCTCACTATCGCTATAACCAGGGGTACCCTCCTCGTGGAAGCTGCCATGAGTGCTCGAGCCTCTGCTCTTGTTGCCTACCCGAGACGACTGCTTGTTCTGGGATGCGCTACGACGGCTGCGACCAGACGGGGATATACTGCGTTTCCGAGCCAGCCGCGACGCCGGCCGAGAAGGTGGTTGGCCGTGTTCCAAGACCTGCGCCGGCGGCATGGCCGGCGGCATCTGGAAGGGCTCCCCTAAGCTGGGACGCTTGCGGGCATCGGCTGGGAGATGCCCATAAAAGCGATCGCCGTAGCCCTCTGTGTACGCCTGGACGGGGATAACCCGCACATAAACAGTCATGTTGTTCCGTAGATTCTCATACCTGGCAATGAGGGTGATACCTTGCTCATCTTCGAAGCTGACACCGCTCGCAGCACCGTCGTAGATGCCGTAAAAATTCTTAACCGTAGTCACAATGGAATCCGTTGTGTCATGAGGATAGATCTGTACCCGCATCGGTATGCGGGCCCGGACCTTGGAGTTCTCATCGAGAAGTAGCTCAAAGGCGACGTTCTTAGGAACCGAGCTCCGAGGGGAGGGTTCCTGAGGCGGCGCACGATGGTCGGTGTAGGCAGGCGACTCCCCAGGGGCAGCATGCTGTTCGTAGTGGACAGCCTGCATGGTGGGAGAGTCTGAAGAGAGGTACTACCACACTGCTACTACATTGATGTATGAATCAATCGGGTGTTCGAATTCGGGTGGGAAGAGCGGTCCGGGCGAGAAGAGACAGAGGGTGGGGGGTGGTGGGAGAGGGAAGCAGGCAGAGACGGGGAGGAATAGGAGGGTATGGGCAAATTCCATCCAAACCTACCACAACAGAGAAACCAGAGGGGTTCAGTTGAAAGATGGACTACCCGCGACAGTTTTTATGGATGTGTTGGATGGCGACTCAAGAGGGTGGTCGGTGGGAGGACGACGGCACCTCAGTCGCAAGAGCCGAGAGCGACGGGAAAGGCAAAGAAAAAGACGGTCGAAAAGCTGGACAACCACCACCACCAAGGTTAGCACGATGTGATGCAAAAGATGTCAATGAGAAAGGACGATGTGTAGAGAAAGGAATCCAGGTCTATTCGATGACGCCGAGACCTCCCCTGTCGAATCCTGATGGGATTGCAGATTGGGGAGGAGGAGAGACGACCCGAAACACTCGGAAGACGATGGATGGCATCAAAGACGTACCGATGGGAAATCAAACCTATTTGTGTAGAGTCGCACCCGAGTATCGGATCCGACGAGATGAGAAAGGAAGGATAGCGATGGTGGTTGAGGGAGTAGGAAGAGGGGTGGGCCGTGGGAGGTGAGTCGTTCTACCAAGCGCTTGGGTATGTCAGCGGTGGCATCACGCAGAGCCGAAGCGAGTCAGGAGAACCAAAAGGCCAGGAAAGGGGGAGAGCGGGTGCAAAAGAAGATCAAAGTCATGCTAAACGATAGACTGGAACCTACCTGATAGATATGCACCAAAAAATCGAAGGGAAATGGTGGAGTGAGTGGGCGAGAAGAAGTCGGGTTGGGTCGAAGAGAAGGTTGAGGAGGAAGAGAGAGAGAGAGAGAGAGAGAGCAGAAGAGGGAGTGGGCGCTGGATGGATGGATGGATGTGGTTTCACCCAAAGCGAGCAGAGGTGGCCTGGGTCGGTGACAGTCCATCCTCTCGAATGCACCCTTTTCCCCCCACAGACTCCCCCGACTTCCTTCCAGATGCGAATTGATTCTCTATATTCTCTATCCCACCCTTTTTTCTATTTGCGCGTGGCTTTCTTTCATCGCAAAATCCTAAATCGCATTGCGTCCGAACGGACCGGCTTCTATCTGGATCTACGAGATCGGCGACTCTGCCTGGAAGGACTTCTGGCAAAAAATAACGTACAAAGTACCTGTCAGATGAATCGCTAAAACTACACTTTTATATTGCTATAACTTTTGTTCCAATACAACGCCAGTGTTGGGGTGAAAGGTGAGTGCAAAGTGCTTTTGGATCTCTGGAGTATCGGCCGGGTGTTGGCGCAAACGACGGCGACATTGTCGATCTGCGACCACAGAGAACAGGTGCAGGAGTACTTTTGGAACTGCCAATCTACGGACATTACAGGAACATACACACGGAAAGAGATACTTGTGGATTACGATCATAATTATTATCATTATTATTGTTGTTACCATTTGAATTCTTTGTGCACCCAACGGAAGAGATGGTTGACCAGATGAAGCGGAGTGGCGTAGGGTCAAGGTTGGCTGGCACTTCCTCAGCGCGGCCACGTCGAATGACACCCCCGATCACATCCCGGCTGCGGAGAGCGAGTAATGGGACGCTTTTCTTCCATGTCCGTCCCCATTTCGGGTTTGACTCCTGGGAAGATGGACATTTTCGTATCAGAATGGTTCAAGGATCAAGTCGTAGCGAATGTTTTCCAAAAAGGCGAAATGATCACTACAGACCAAACAAGCAGCGAAAAGATCCGAAGAATGTTATCCTGGGGAATAAGGTTGGTTCCCTTTTTCCCCTACGTGGATGGGCATAAGACGCAATTAAAGACGACCGACCAACTGTCTCCGGAAAGAACTGAACTTGTCCCCCCTCCCCTCTCGCAGCGACCAATTCCCTCAACGCTGGTCGCGCAAGGTTCTTACCATGCTCAATGCTGCCATTCCATTACTCGCGGGGCGTAAGACATGCATGATGGTTTGGATAACCGGTTGAAAGGGCGATCGATGCTCCGGATCTCCATGTTGGGGCAAAGGAAAGGAAATCTCCTACGGCGCAAATGTTCTCCATGGCCTCAGGCTCATCATCATCCATTACCAGTATGTAGACTACTTAGTAGTAATCAGTACTCCCTAGTAGGAGTACCAGACACCGCCAGCGCAGAATCCCGGAGAAACAACCAGACCATCATCATCACCACCAAAGACAAAAAAAAGCAAAGGAAATACTACTTAACGGAACAGCATGCAATGGAATGAGGGGAGGGCAATCCACCACACCCAACCATCGCTACCGGGGGATGGAGACGAGAACTGAATGAGATTAATTGGGCCAGGATGCTGCAACGACACAGAGCCAACAAGCCGACGAGCAACAACGCCCAATTGTTGCCTCGTTTCATGATCTGCGCCTGTCCAGACTCGTCCTTTTACCCCTCCTCGGAAAACGGTGGGCTACGTAAGGATCCCCGTCTTTCCTTCACCAACTTTCGGGCAGGCACAAGACTCTGTATTCTTTTGCGACCAGACTGACAGCGAAGAAACTCATCATCATCATCTGAATTAGCAGCTCCAATCCTATGGACAGTCATTTGGCTTCCTGTCCCGCGGGTCCCTAAATCGCATCTGCCAGGCCGGCCATTCCCATGTCTGCAAGGTCCAGTGCAACTTCGCAGCGGCCTGTGAACTAAACCTTCGGAGGGTTGGTTCCCTTTGACTGCCAATCCGCTGTTTAACCATGTCTTGCACGCTGTACTGGGGTTTCTACACAATCTCATCCTGGCCCCAAGCGATCGAATGAGAATGACTGAAGAACAACCAACTGGCGCAACAATGCCGTTAGCCGGGTGGGGGGAAATCAACTGGAAGGACTGCATTCCGCAAGGAAGGCAAATGAGAATGACAATGATGGGATCGTATATATATATATATCTACGGCAAGATATAGGCTCAGTCGCTTCTTTCCCTTCTGTTTGTCAAAAGTTATATTCTTCAGTTCAAATTGAACACAATCCGATCTCGTGCGATCATTCCAATTGTAGAGTTTGTGAGTGTTCCTTATTGAGGCACTCAAAGCGGGGCCTGCTCCAGAGTCAATAACCAGTCCGGCCGGTGCTTCAATAGTCATCATAATTTTGCCCATTCATGTTAGTTAACTAACTGGCTTTGCTATTGTTGTTGGTCAGCCGCCAGGCCAAACACACACCGAAACTTTGCGTATCTTCAATAGTCCGCTTTCACCGTTCGGTTGTCCGCGACACCTCAAATGGCGGCTGGTCGCCAGCAATCCCAATGTTCATCCTTTCCATCTTCTCTCTCTTCCTCTACAATGCACAATGGATCACAGCATCAATCAGTGTGAATTTGCGACCATCGCATAACACATATCACCAATACTGGCTATTTCACTGATGGCAAATCCGGTGGAGGTCGGGACTTTTTCGCACACGACCATCGACAAACCCGCACTCATGAATCCCGCCGCCTCATGATAGGTACCGCCGGATCCGCGTCCCACAATTGGGGGGGGGAAACTTGTGGCTTCCTGGCGAGGTTGGCATTTTGCGCGGGTGTAAACGGGACCCAAAGATCAGTCCAAAGTAAGTGCCAGTTAGAAAACCCGCAAAAGAAGCCAGGCCAAAGATACAAACTGTAAGCCTACAGGAAACATGGATTCCTCAAGTCATTGACGGGTTTGCGATTATCATGGCCCGTCATCATTGGCATTACCAGAATCCAGCTGGAATCTCGACCCGAATGGCCCATCCACGCCATCCTGGTCGAGACGTTTCGCTCAAAGACAATCAGGTGCGCTGCCATGCGACACCGATGAGCCTGGTTAATAGTGCGATCAGAGGTCCTGGATAATTGGGTTGGTCGCAAGCTGAATTCAACATTCCGGTTGCTCCAACCTCCGCTTCAAGCGTCAAATCCCGGAGCAAAGATGGCAGCTCTCCCGTCCGTTCAGGGTCACGTGAATTCGCGTTGGGTGAAGGCCGGCTTCGTGTGACCCGGCGCGTCCAGGACCTGGGGGAATATCTACCATAATTGTCCACCACAACCGTAAGTATTAGCAGGAAATGCTGTCGTTTTAGAATCGCAAAATAGCCTGCGATGTAAAGTGCCTTTTATCGCCAGATATAGCAGGGTTTGGAAGAGAAAGATGGGCAGTAAAGGAATTGATATGCTGGTGGGAAGACGCGTTAGATGATGTCACCCGCTCTGGAGAGCAAGCAAACAGCGCAAACAGCGGCTGACCTAAGCATGCCATAGCAACCCCCGAAGCGGACTAGCGCGGGTGTTGTTGACGGTAACCAAGTAAGGAAGTGACCGTTTCGGGCAATGCTGGTGGTTGCCCTTGAGATTCAGTTCAAACTCAGCTTTTGTTTGTCCTGCCCTTTCTTCGTTGCTGGTCGCCCTGTCTTTGTCAATGTATTGGTGTTAGTCGTTGTCTTTCAACCAACCTCCTCCCTCTCGTGGCAGCCAACCTTAACACTCAAACCTGGTCGAACTGGCGCTATCGCTCGAGCCCTTGGCGCGGTCTTGTGTTTGTTTGGGGTCGCATTTTTAGTATAACTTTAGCTGCGACGACCAACTCCTGCGCAGGGCGCAGAGAAGTAAACAACCACCCACCCTTCCCCAAGCTCCCCCAAACACGGTTCTCGAGGCTTCAGAGTATTACCTCTCTTCATCCAAGATGGATGCAAAGGTACGTTATCTTCCATTGCATGTCCTTCCTGCCTGGCAGCCGTCCAATCGGCTTATAAACATGGCATGCATGTTCACGGTGCTGCACGCGCACTGAGGGCTTAGCCTCCGATTATCCCTTCACCAAGGTCGCGAATTGGTTAATAACACTGAGCTGACGAGATTTATGGCATTAGCCCCAGAGAATTCGCGTCCGTGGTGACGAGAATGCCCCCTTCCCTCTCGCAGCCAACAAGACCCTTACCCAGAAAAACAAATCCACGCCTGCCTTGTCCACCATGTTCCAGAACGGCGCTAACAAAGGTGCGGCCAAGCGGGCTGCTTTTGGCGATGTCAGCAACACGGCCAAACCAATTGCCGGTCGCGATGATATCTCCCTGGCGGGCAAGAAGCAGACCAAAGGGGCAGAGAAGGCGGCGTTGATCGTCGAGAAGAAGGCCAGCCTGGCGCAGCCAGCTCAGCGGCCCATGTCAATGGCTGGTATGAAAGGCCTCTTGAACAATGTTCCCAACGCCAAACCCATTGAACCTTCCAAGCAAATCGCCTTGCAGCAGCAAACTGCAAATGCTAGAAAGATCTTGAACAAGCGGGCTACAGTATTCAAAGACGCGTCGGAACCGTCGAACAACAAATGCGAAATTACATCCAAGGAAACCAACACCGAACTCGAGGAAGGGGACAAGAAGGCATCCCTTGCACAGGCGCCCGCAGCTGCGAAGCGGACCACTACGAAGGAGGAAGCTACACACGAAGAACCGAAGCCAGTCCTGGAAGACGCCGAAGAGCCTTCCATTGTGGACTCTGAGGTGGACGAGGCAGAGAAGGCTTTGCTGGAGGTTGATGATGATCATTGCAAGGTCCAGGATCATAGCGAGGATCCCAAGCCCCGCGAGCTTCCCGCTGCGCCGGAGGTTCCTGAACCTAACCGTGTCGCGAAGGCTCATCGTGACTCTGCCTCGACCTCGCATGCACCAGCACAGTCGGAGCCGGAAGATTGGGATGAAGAGGACGAGCATGAGGAGGAAGATGGGTATATCACTGCTCGCTCCTACCGCTCTCGCGGCGAAAATACCACCGGGGGTGCCACCACAGTGCTTTTCCCCAAATTCACCCAGCAAGTCCGGCGCGAACTAGCTCTCGCGGAGCAGGTCGTGGAAGCCACACGGACTGAGGAAGACATTGAAGATGAATGGTACGATACAAGCATGGTTGCTGAGTACAGCGAGGAGATCTTTGAATACATGAGAGAACAAGAGGTACGTACTAAGTCTGGAGAAACCTGATCCTATGTAGTTTAGATACTGACATGGCCTACAGATCAAGATGCTACCCAATGCTCACTATATGGATAACCAAGCCGAGATCCAATGGTCTATGCGGTCTGTGCTTATGGACTGGGTCGTGCAGGTCCACTATCGGTTCTCTTTGCTTCCCGAGACCCTCTTCCTGTGTGTCAACTACATCGACCGCTTTCTTTCTTGCAAGATCGTGTCCCTGGGCAAACTTCAGCTTGTGGGTGCCACTGCCATCTTCATCGCCGCCAAGTATGAGGAGATCAACTGCCCGTCCGTGCAGGAAATTGTCTACATGGTAGATGGAGGATATTCCATGGACGAGATTCTCAAAGCTGAGCGTTTCATGTTGAGCATGTTGCAGTTCGAGCTGGGATGGCCTGGCCCGATGAGTTTCCTGCGGAGGATCAGCAAGGCCGACGACTACGACTTGGAGACGCGCACTCTTGCCAAGTACTTCTTGGAGATCACCGTCATGGATGAGCGTTTTGTTGGAAGCCCCGCGAGCTTCGTTGCCGCTGGCGCTCACTGCCTGGCTAGGCTCATGCTGCGGAAGGGAACCTGGGTATGTCCTTGACCTGCTGAAGTTCGAAAGAAGTCGTCCTAACATGTTCCCAGACTCCCGCCCACGCCCACTATGCCGGATACACTTACACGCAGCTTCTCCCACTCATTTCTCTCATGGTGGAATGCTGCGAGAACCCTCGCAAGCACCACGGCTCTATCTACGAGAAATTCTCTGACAAACGCTACAAGCGCGCTTCTCTGTTCGTTGAGAACGAGATGAGAAAGGGATTCATCGTCCCAGAGCAGGCCAGAGATAGCTCTTATTCCGATCGCAACGCATCAACTGAACCAGCGCCCTACTGGAAGCGCGCATAGCTTCTAATCTAGTCACTCATGCTGAATTCCTCGACCTCTTCTAACCGCTACCACTTACAGAAAACTCAACCCATCGTCGTTTACTTCTGCATATAGAGCATGAAAATGTCTGACACGGCGCAGGGGTTCAGGGTTTGCTGGCTACACTGACCTGCAACCCGTGCCTGTTGAAAGCTGCTAATATCTGAAAATAAGAGGCGTGAGTGTGCGCAGAAGCTCACGTCGCCAATACCCCAGGATCAAGGTCCTCACACCCTCCTTTACCTTTTTTATGATACCAAGACATGTGACGCCTATGGCCATCCATGCAAGATGTAGACCACGCAAGAAAAACCGTTGCCGTGATCGGAAATCGGATGTCAGGGAGACGGAGTTCTTTTGCTTTTACCTCATTTCTTTTTTTCTTCTTTATTAATGATTTGCACGACAATTGATTCATGCAAGCAGTCCGGGTTCGGGAGTTAATGGGTCGATGGCTGTCTTTTCTTACAATCCCTCCTTTACATTTTCTTCATTTCTCTCCTATGTCGTTATGCCCTTGTGTTCTTCTACCTTTCTCGACTATCACGACCTATTCACGCTCCCGGCAGATTGCTGCTATCCACGGAATCTTCACGACGAACGGCGAGCTCCCCCGAGCATCGCTATAATCCATTGCCCTCTGATTTCCTTTGTTTCGTTGGAAATGACGTTTACCGTTCGTCTATTACCGCATGCATCGTTCTGTGGATTATTATCCAGGTTTATGACCCACCAGTTAATGCCATTGGATCTATCTCTTTAGCTCCACCTCTAGAAGACCATATACATCGTAGTATGTAGGAAACTAGGCCAATCAGTAACATCAAATTCATCATGAGATTCACCCACATCTACTTTTTTATCATCCTCATCATCTATCTAGCATCTAACACCTTACTATATATCCATACCTCTACCCCAAGATATTCTCACCAGTAACCAAAACATCTCACACAAAAATATATACCCGAAACCCCCTCACTGATCTAACCCATTAAACTCAATCAACCTCTTCACAACCTCAACCACCTTATCCGCCGTCTTCGCCTGATCACCACCCTCTGCACCACTACCACCACCATTAGGCTGATCAATCCTCATGGCAATAATCTCATCCAGCATCATCCGCAACCTGGACAC